CCTAAACGTAAAAATACAACTACTAATTCGCCGGAAAAGTGGTTTTTTATAAACATCTTTATGATAAAAAGACATCTTTTCAACTTCTTATTATTCACATATAAAATGTGAAAGAGAACTTCAAGCTCTGTTAGTTTTAATGCTACTTTATCAAAAAAAATATTTTCATTCTGACCGGCTAAATGAAGTGTTACACCACTTGTACCAAAATCTTTAGCTTTAATCATTTTCAGTGTGGAACCAACACCTGAGAGCTTAAGATTTTTTCCAATAACACTTGGTAGCAGTCGTTGAAGGCTCCTCGCTTCGACGATGTAGCCACATTAAAAATGCTACAGTATGTTTACAGCCACCTCTGCTGGCGGCACAATCTTCGCAGGTTACATTTAATACTACTTGATCCTTTTCATTGCATTCTAAACTGCAATGATAAGGTGTGGTACGTACGCGGTGTTCTGGCGTGCTTCTACATTTAACCATACATACATCACCTACTCTTTTTACTTGAACATAACCAATAGCATCATTGTCATAGCTGTTTCTTGCCGATTTGAAATAAGTTTCAAATAAAAATAAATAGCCTTAAGTATTTTGTTAGTAAAAAATACTAATAAATAAAAAAGGTTTAGTTCATCTGTTCAAACATCTACATTTATATAAAAAAATAATTTAATGAAATGGCCTTACGTATTTTGTTAGAAAAAAAAATACAAATAAAAAAGGTTTAGAACATCTGTAACGTTCAACCCACTACGTCTACATCCTAGGTACCTATCCTACTTCCTACTAATATTATAAATGCGAAAGTTTGTGTGTGTGTTTGTTTGTTATCTTTCACGCAAAAACTACTGAACAGATCTGGACGAAGTCTGGAATAACACATAGGCTACTTTAAAACCTGGGAAAATGTACAGCTCCCGAGGGAAACGTGGGCGAAGCTGCTGGCGGAAGCTAGTTTGCAATAAATCAATGTTTGTATTTATTTAAATTTACTAAGAGCGGTACCTATATAAACATACGTACTTACTTACCTATAGCTACAAAACTATATTACATATTTGTCTTTAACGTAAAAATTTAATGGTAGATAGGTACTTCTACTATTTGAGTTGCATTCTTCCATTACGACATTAGTTGCGTATTTTGTTTTGATAAAATAATTTAGAACAGATAAACTATTAAGCATAAATAGTAGCAAGGAAAGTTTACTTACCTATGCATTTTTATTCCTCGCATTTCGGCGGCAACGAAATTACTATTTGTTAATAAACAATGCGCAACCTTTAATCCATCTATTTTAGGTAGATTATCCGATGGCCCTTTTCGAATCCTTCGTCTATTTTATTAATCGAATAATATTTAATATTATCAGACTATTAACTTAATACACGGGCGAAAACACAACAAAATACTGCTCAAGCTCTTACACCTACTATAACCGCTGGCGACAGGATCCTAAGCGGGGCGCGGCGCGTTGTGACATGACGTCACAAGCGGTCACGTGGCTGTTAGCGGGATTCGATATTTTTCGAAACTTTGAATGCATATAAAATCAAAATTACTCGGTATTTTTGACTACAACAAAAACTAGTGTATTTGTATTGATAAGGGCTTTATTGAGACAAAATTTCAAGCGATTTGGCATACCTAGTAACATTCTTCATTAGGTCATTGGCTTCACTCGCGATAAATACGTCGAATGTTAGTTTATTGTAATGTGACGTCACATGATGTTTCGTTATGGCCACCAGTATCTTCTTCTTAGTCTGTGTGGACAAGTTCTTTTTTAAAAATAAAATATATATACAAATTAAAACAAAAACATACTACATATAGTTATTGTTTACATATAAGTCACCATTTCCAACATATTCCATTATTTCTTGTTAACACTGGCAAGTAGCCAATGAGAAATGTTAATAGGTATCAAATAATGCTTCAAAATTCGTTACAATAAAGTTCTTATGTATTCAAATACACTAGTTTTTGTTTCATTAAAAACACCAAATAATTTACAGGCATTTGAATTTTGCAAAAAATTCGAGTGCCGCTCAGTCACGTAGCTGGCGTTTTTAAACTATCCTAGAACCATGAATTCTTGAGGATTATATGAGTCTTATATCTGCATATAAGCCCGGAAAAGGCCCACTTTATAAGTCTACCCTTGCTTACAGTGCGATTATATCAGGCCGCAGCCATCCCACTTTTGATTAAATGGCTTTTAGATAAGTGTACTTTTACCTAAAAATGTCAATACAAATCCACTATAGTAAAAAGTGAGACTAACTCGGCCCTAGCTATGCCTCTACTAAGTATGCACCTAGTGTTTCAGTGAATTGTCAAATTGTGCAGTGTAGAAAAAAATTAAAAAGTTTGAGCAAAGGTAAGTGGTATTTATTAATATGATAACAAGAAATATTGTCAGCCATACTAGAACAACATATCCTAATGTTCTTAGTATTTGAGTTGTATGTTTGCTGGGGAATGTAAATTTTCTGTGAACCTTATCTTGGTTTAAATTAAAATTTTAAAGCGCCTCTTAAAAATGGCTTATTTACACTTTCTATATTCATTTATTTATCAACGAATGCTAGGAAAAGTCGCCATTTTTTGGGTGACCTTTTCCAAGTATGATATAGGATTGATAAAAGTTAATTTAGTTCTACAATGGTAAGTGCCAACACCAAAGCAAATTCGCCATGTTGTTACCAATTAGGGTTCCGCAAATATTACTGTCTCATCAGGGGGCTCATACTGGAAATCGTAGATTCTGTTATGATAAATATTTAGTAACAATCGTGATTTTAATGGCTGATCGCAAATCCTATAGTAAGATTTAGGAAACCATTCACATCGTGTTTTCGACTATATCGGTTGTTTCCAGAGAAAGGCTTTTAAAGAGTTCTAGCCAGGATTGTTTGAAGATTTCTTAGACAATAGCACTACTATAAAATACCCATAAGCTTATATCGGCATATGAAAAAACCCCTATAAAGTGCATTTTTGCCTAGCGAGTCCTGGTATAAGCTTTTCGAGATTCGTGAGACCGTATTAAGCTCGTTTTTTCTTATATTGGTGATTTAGAGCAAAAGTGGCCTTTTAAGTGTTCTAACCAGGATTATTCACGATTTCTTATATTTCTATATAAATCTAACTTGGCTTATATCGGCATATGATAAACCCATAAAGGTGCATTTTTGCCAACCGAGTCCTGATATAAGTTTTTCTGAATTCGTGAGACCGTATTAGGATCGCTTTTGCTTATATAGGTTATTACGATCAAAAGTAGCCTTTTAAGAGTTCTGACCAGGATTATTCGAGATTTCTTCGATTAAAGCATTACTACGGATTAAAATTCCATTGGATGTTAATATTAATTACAGACTTGAAATATAAATGCTCTTTAGTAGTCTAACTCGAATTGACTTATAAAGGCCACAAAAATATTGCTTATATGAGGCTATAAGACTAATAAAAAGAGTGATTGTTCCTCAGTGTACATTTTTCTCGAATATGCTCATTTAGGAGCCTGAAGATTAAAATGCGCTTAAAGCGTTGTCTTATATGCGCATATAAGTCTGAGTTATCGGAGTAGTTCCTCTTGTGACTAATTATTCATAATACATGCTCTTATAGGATGCATGCATGCTCGTACATATGTTCAATGTTTTGACAATATATGTTCAATAAAAACCCCTTAAAAATCAAAAGAATTAGAAAAACACCGCGGACGAACTAAACCATATCATCTTATCTCCAAATGAATCTACTCTTTTCATAGCTTTTAACCACAACTTTCACATTTTGACTTCCATTAGAACTAAAAAAACAACTCCGGCGCATTGTTGATTGTATTTGTATATTTTGGCACAACACGCTATTCTAGTATTTACTGAAGTAGATATTTTAATAATTTGTGGTGAATGGCCAGGACCTCTATTTTTGAATCACTCGTTTAAAATCGCCTTGCCGTATAAGACCTAAGTCAGGCTCGACATCTAAGTCGCGTGATGTCGTTTATAGTATTTTTGAATCGTCCATCTGCAGCGCGGCCAACATGATTCGAAATACAGGATTTTGTTTTTCGTATTATTTTGAAATCATTTTTCGCCATATAATAAAAGTGTTAAGATAAATAAAACGGACATAAATGTAATTTTATATATTTATTTCATGTTTTAACGTTTATTCTATCATTCGCATACAGCATTCACTAAACGACTGTTACGGACGGCTAAAACCCGCTACCTCACCCCCGCAATGAGTGGAGGGGGTACGTCACGGGCAACGGCAACGGGAGCACTCCCCCGCAACCTCGCCCCCACATGAAGTGGAAGGGGCACCGATAGAACATGAAATTGTTAGGTTAATTAACGCGTTACGATAGTAGCTAAGTGCGATTAAACAAATTAAGCAAGTCAAAATTGTACGTAAGCATGCCTGCGAACGTTTACGTACTTCGTACTGCAAACAACAACGAACTCTGCGATAGAACGTAAGAAAAAAGAATACTTTCAAACCCCTGAACTGTTGTTTCATCCCCTACAACGACGATTGGTTCATACCACTCGTTGCAGTCGAGCGAATCAGAAATGGCGATTTGTTGAACTGCAGGCACAGAAGAACGCGAACTGCGAGTGAACGAACTAAGCGAACGAGCGTTGGAATATGACGTCACGCGCATTAAGCTCGGTCCGGCGGAGCCTCGCATTGTACGCTCACTTTAGAAAACAATCGGTCAGTTGCACAAACGTCCATTTTAATGACGTCTTTAAGCTCTCTTATGAATGTCAAAATTGTATGGGTAATGTCACTTTAAACAAATGAAAATTTTAATGGACGTTTGTGCAACTGGCCGAATATCTCATAAACTTATCGACGTAACAAAATAATTTTTCACATGTATTTTTTGTTAATAGACAATACGAAGAGCTAGAATTTCAATTTAGTGAACATTCTTCATTCTCAAGGATATTATAAAATCAAAAACAAACTTTTTGAAAAAAATATATATAATTAACTAACACATATAGTTGGAATCATTTCAATTTACCTTAAAAAAATCATTGAATGCCTATATCTAACAATACCTTATACCTAAAATATTTACATGACTGTAATCTAACAAACATCTCACGAATATATCATACTTTAATAACCATCAAGTTCACATTCACATTAAGACTTCTAGGGCTATGCACTGAGCACGTAAAAATAATATTTACATGTTTCACTAACATAAACCTTATATCAAACATAAGATTCATTTTACAAAATACATATTTCGATTCAATAAAAAAATCTATCTATATAATTTAGCAACATTATCGCCACGTTGTGACGTCACGCTATGAGACTGTCACTGACACATGACCTTTAGGTTATAATGACTAAAGAACAAGAAATTGATAAAATTATGATGTGTTTATGATTGTCTCTTCATTAAAAAATGAGAAGAATTGTTTGTGGTGAAACATGATTTACATTTCGTATGACATCACGACAGAGTATAGTAATATCTAAATTTTAAAATAGTTTGTTTTGATGTTTATTTTGATGTTTACTATGTGTTGGGACTTTAAAATAAATAAATATGTTTAGTATCAAGTAACCTATTGTCATTCGACAGTTTTATCTTACCGCGCTGAAAAAATTGCTTCTAATTTATTTGTACTTGCGTTTTCTCATTTCATCTACTTAATATTACTTGACAGTGACTGAAATGATGCGAATGTCGTCGTACGGCTTATCGGTTTTAGGGTTGGTTTTCGCCGAGCCGATGTTTTGCACAACCTCCATACCGCGCACAACTCGACCGAATACTGTGTGTTTGTTATCCAACCACGGCTGCAACAAACAAACATTATAATTCAGTCATTCAGTAAGCTTTTTGTTTGAAATTTTTTAAATAATATGCAACTAACCTTTGAATTGCTTGTTAAATTATATTATCATAATAATTAAAATTAGACCAGATCAAAAGGTCTACAGCTGAACTAGATTGATTTTCATTTAGTTGGAATAGGATTCAATCAAAATATATTTGACATTCAATACTGTATTGGTATATATTTGCAGTCTATTGCTGTATTGGTACAGTGTGTACATTCAAGACATTGGATTTAATAAATTGCTCTTTACATTCAATATAAGTTTGTATTCAATGTCGTTAATTGAGTAAAGCAGTACTGCTGACCTAGCGATTTCAATTATAACTGAACCTTCGGTTAAAGTTATTAATAGTCTTCCATATTAATATCACAAAGAAATCAGATTTGATTTTTTTATTCCAATTCAATAGTCTCCTAAACTACTAGCCCGATTTAAAAATTCTTTAACCTACTACAACGTCAAACGCGGGTGCCACAGCCTACAATATGAAAAAAGCTAGTGTTCCAATAATTATAAGGTGTAAAACACAATGCATTAAATGTCTGTCCGCACAAACTCGACAGGAGTCAGGCACGCTACTTGAAGACTAAGATACACAGGTACGGAAAACAGGTAGTATGATATAATATATTATATGTACGTACGGTGGGCGCTAATGTGATGAAGAACTGGCTGCCGTTAGTGTTGGGTCCAGCGTTGGCCATACTGACCGTGTACGGACGGTCGTGCTTCAGCTGCGGACGGAACTCGTCTGCGAACTCACCACCCCATATACTCTCCCCGCCAGTGCCCGTACCTAGAACAAGTATTTATTTATTTTTCACTAGTGATACTACCCTATTTTAAATACAAGTTTTGATGGCCAATTATCATAAATTGGCCATGTTATGACATGTATGTCACATTTGGCATGTCAGAATTTTACAATACTATCAATTGTTACAACTTACATAATATAATTATATTTCATAAATATGCAATTTGTATCATTATAAAATAATTCGTCATTCTCAAAATAATAATCACAACAGAAAATAATATCGGTAACAAAATTAAGTTGAAAATAATAATATAAATTAATAATTAGATTAATTAACTACATTTTCATTACAAATTAAAATTACAATCTTTCCAGGTCATCGTCAAAAAATCATTTACTTTATAAAATGGATTAGATTCAAAAAACAATTTTGTCACAATTTTAAATTTATTTAATGGTAACTCGGTAATATTAATAGGCAGCTTGTTGTACATATAAATTTTGAGGTTGAATCCTTGCGTCAGATTTCAGTATATTCAAATTCAAATAAATATCTAATGTACACAGTTTTTAACAAACTATGCGGCGCTACGTGAAAATGAGTAGAGTGAGCGTTACCCGTGGGGTCCCCGGTCTGCACCATGAACCCCTTGATGACGCGGTGGAACACGTGCCCGTTGTAGTAGCCGCTGCGCGCGTGCACGCAGAAGTTCTCGGCGGTGCGCGGCACCTCCTTGCCGAACACGCGCACGTGGATGTCGCCCAGCGACGTGTGCAGCACCGCCTGCTCGTACACGCGCTGCACGCCTGCGACGGACACACGCCTTATTCGCACACCGTTTAGGTTCAATATTCAACAACTAGTGTTGCCAGGTGTCCCGATTTTCAGGGGTCCGAGGACGCGTCCCGATTTGTACCTAATCGCGACGCTAAATGTCCCGAAAAATCAAGCATTTTTATTAAAAAAATTTTTTTTTTTATACTGTCAAATCCATTTTTGAAAGCCCCTAACTATATTTATCTATGTCTGAAAGCAAAAAAGCTACCAAACTAGTACCTATTAGTATGTCACGAGGAAGATTAAGATATCAGTTATTTATTAAGGTTTTGTTTAAATTACTAATGAATGTTGAATCTAAGCTATATAATTACGGTTAGATTTTTATTTGTTATTTTATTACATGATTGAAAAAAGAGTGTATTGTATTTAGAGTTAATGTTTGTATGTAAGTTTCTTTATTCCCCTATAACTTTGGATATTAATGTAGGTATAGGCTGTTAGGGTGTTCAACATTACATCATCTCGAGTGACACTGGCTATATATTTGTTTTATATTTAATATAGCTGATATATGACAACGGAGGCACACGCCCTACCCGCTAAGTAACAGGGACAGTGCAGAGCGTATTTCCGAGACTTCAAACGAAGATTCTATATTGAATAACTATCGGAAAATATCATGAATATAGCGGACAGTGTTTTCGAGGTTATAAAAATAGTTTAAGTTTTTCATTTATTTTTAACTTATTTAAATTAAATTAAACACTTACGAATACTAAATGAAACAACTTTTAAACGGTTTCATCGCGTTTGTGTATAGTTTTATTGACGTTTCGGACCATTTACATGTTCCATGTTTCATTTTAAAATCTCAAATATATAAGGTCTCCAGTTAGACACCGCGTCGGGGCCGAGAACAGTTATATGGTAGGTAAAATTCGATTTCCATTCCACGAAACCTTCATAACGAGAAAAAAAATTAAAAGCGGCAAGTAAACACTTTCTATAAATAACTTTTCTGGAAAAAAATTTAGTTCTCCTACCTTGACCTTCTGTAGCAGATATAATGTCCTCTTTAGATGGTTTCTCGTTGAAAATGTCCCGGTCCGCGTCGGGACTCTTTATATCATCAGGACTCCGCCGGGAGAACATATAGAACCGGTTCTTTTTATACGCCGTACAGAAGAGAGTGGGGTCCGTCTTCACGTTCAATAAGGTGGGATTCTCTGAGCCTTCCATCTCTAGGGTGGTGGCCACTTTCGATTGATTGGTACGCCCCTAGAAGCAAGTACGTAAATCTACAGCTGGATTGTATATTGGAAAAAGCTGGCTATAAGAACTCAGCAGCAGCAGCACTCAGAAGTCACACTGAAAAATTGCTCCAAGACATTATACTTAATTATCACCTATTTTCGCTCATCTAGAATTAAAAAAGATTATGTGAAAGGATTATACAATACACAGATGAATAATTAATAAGATTGCTAATGTAAAATATTTTTAAACAAAGGTACATATTATTCATCTGTGTATTCCACAAATGCATTATGATAGTAGATCGGATACTTCGGGAATTGGACACTTCACGAACAGAACATTTTGAATTAAATTCTATAAAAGCTATTTCACTTAAATGTTATAACCAGTGGTCGGAATTAGGTAGAGTTATTCATGTACTTACACTGATTTCATACAGCGAAAGAATAAAGTGGATATGCCTCAAATCCCGAGATTAATTTTAAAGAGCAGAAAAAAACCCGTGATTTTTTAAATAAAAAGTTATTTACTTTTACACAATTTAAACTACTGCACGCACGACGTTGCCGAACTTACATCAATGAAAGAAAGAAATAAAGAAATCCCAGGAAGGTCCACATTAATATCAACATTTCGATGCAAGTACATAAATAACTCTACCTAATTTCGACCTCTGATCATAACACAGTATAAATTGTGTACAGTACAAACCAAAAGATTTCCAGCTGTAAGAACTTATAGAATTGACAACAAACGAGGGAATAAAAATCAAGTTCAAATATGGTTACCAAGAGTTATGGTTACAAAAACCGATCCCGCAATTTTACCCTGGATTGTGGTCATTCGTTCAACGATTCTTTATAGCATACCCACCGTCATATTTGTGTGATCGTGGATTTAGTGCTGTGGCAACACTGCTTACTAAAAAGAGAAATCGTTTGTATGTTACCGAACGTTGTTTTATGAGTATTTTGAATAAAAGATACCTACTTTGTTTGAATACTATAAAGTTGCGTTTCAAAAATCATTTTCATTGGCAGGTGTAACCCGTAAGAGTCAACTTGAAACCTGTGCGCTCAGGATTCAAGTTAACTCTTGCGAGTTATAGTCAAGATCTCGTTTAAAATTAATATTTAATCTCCGCTAATATAGCTTACAATAATGAATCAATTTAATTTGAAGTTATAGTGGTTGTTAAGTAGATTAAAAAATGGGGCGCTAACAATAATTTATTCTCAAAATGGGCAGTAGACAAGTTTGGGAACCCCTGATATAGAGTATCTAAAAATTATACAGTTTCCTCGAAATTTCCATAACAATGCCAATGTAGGGTCAATCATACCATGACGACCAGTAGTATCTCAGTTTGTGCATAAGACTGTTTAAGAAGCCAGTTACTGGTAACGAATTCAAATGTATGACGATTTAGGACGTAAAAAGATAATAATTTGTTTAATATATTGTATGGATGTGGTGCATTAAAAACAAAAAATCTATAAAAATGGATAGATGTATCCATTTTTTTTTTTGTTACATCTACTGTGTTAATTTGTCGAGAAGTGCTCTTAATGTCATTAGTTAAAAAGTGTAATAGATGTAGTAGCTAGTAGATAAAGTTGTGTGACTGTCAGAACTTGATAAAATTCATAAAGCATGTCAGTATTTCGTAACAATCGCATCTCTATAGAATCTCAATGACTTGCATTTAACTATTGTACTATCTACCTTGTCTAATAATATTAGTGCAATTTCATCATCACTGTTGAAGGTTTGTAATAAAAACTTTCAATTGGGCCCTGTCGCCCTTTTTGAAGAAAAGCACCAACACGCCCCTGTGCTATGCTTCTGGCGGTGACTCCTGTCATACCCCGGCGCCTTGTTGTTCTTGAGCTGTTTGAGAGCCACACAAATCTCGTATAGACTGACGTCCGGGATGTCTTAGGTATAATGTCGGGTTTAATTGGCTCTAGGGTCTGTAGCCTCAATGACAGGTTTCTGTGATGTTGTGTATAACTGTCCATAGAAGCGTTCGATCTCCACCACAAGCTCAGGACGGGATGTAACGACTCTGCCGTCCTCTGTCTTTAGCTTCGTCAGCAAGCTCTGACCGAGAGACAGCGCGAACACTTTGGAGCCTTTATACCGCTCAATCGCCTCCATAATACATTGAGTATTAAATTGGCGTATGTCGCGTGTGAGAGACTTTGAGATCTGTCTTCAGAAGACTGCAAAATCATTCCACGCCTTTCTTCCATTAGCTTGCTTATCTGCTCCGAGATCTTGCTCCTTTTTTGAGTACGGCGAGGTTTGAGAAATTTTGAACCCACCGTAAGGACAGTTTCCACGACCCTGTCATTGTATTCGTCCACATCTGAGCAGCTCTCCAGCAGCTCGGCAATCGAAGCAGTTTTGAAGTTCGAGCTGAAAGTGCTCGGGGTCCCGGATTTGGGTGGCTTCAGGACGGAGCGTAGACTTCACCAGATTCAATGCGCCTCTATACGGTGATCGCTTCCTGTATTAAACGAATTGATCACTGTAACGTCATAAAAACATCAGAGTCTTTGTCGACATGATGAAGTCGATCTCGCTTTTTGTCACCCCATCCGGACTCTTCCAGGTCCACTTTCGATGCAACCGTTTTTTGAAGAAGGAGTTCATAATATAGTGTCCTTCCATTATAGTCGACTAGCATTTGACCACGGTGATTCCGGATCCCAGATCCAAATTGCCCCACCTTCAGCTCCTCATCGCCACGCTTGCCTAGCCTTGCGCTGAAGTCTCGCATGACAACAGTGTAGTGGGTAGTGGAACCATGTATTGCCCGAGAAATGTCCTCATACGTGCCTTCCACTTCCTCGTCGGGGTGTGTCCAGGTCGGGGCATAAACCTGTATGACCTTCAGCGAATACCGTTCGGTGATTCTGAGTATAAGGTTACCCACCCTATTCGATACACCACCTTGGGACAGATCTTCGTATTATAAGTAAATTAAATCAATGTCATTGTGAGTTTATAAAACCTATGGCCTAAAATAAAACATCGTATATGTGTTACATACTTCTCGGTAGTTTCATTTTGGTGGGTCGTCACAATCATATGGCAACGGTGACAAATATATATTGGATAATATTGGACCTTGGATAGATAGTACAATGGCGAAAAGCAAATAATTGATAATCTATTGAAATGCGATTACTTCATACAGCATTAGCAAAATCTGCTGGACGTGAGGTAGGTCACGGTCCATTCGTCCTATTCGATTCGTGTCTATTCATAGGAAAAGCCTGTGCCCCAGCAGGACTAATATATAACTAGGAGATCCTCGTTGGAGGCCTACAATGCGGAACTTAAGCAACTATCAGTCATATGATGTGTGATCAAAACATTTTACCTTCAGCTCCATACTTATTTCTTTTCAAGAAGAATTTCAGTAGAGGGAACATGTTTTCTGTTGGCAATTACTTTGGTCGATAATCCACTGATCAAGTGAAAATGAACGTCTGATATCGATTTTGAACAATGTTAGAGTGATAATAACCTGGAACAAGGCCAGATGCAGAGGTCGCAGGTTCTCCGGTTTCCCGAGCATGGCGACGCAGCGGTTGGTGACGAGGTTGACGACCTTCACGCCGAGCATCGTCGCGTACACCACGAAGTGACCGCTCGCGTCGAACAGCACGTTAGCGAAGTGCACCGCGTCCGACTTCTCCAGGTCACGCTCCGCTGCCATCCTGATCGACAATTGTAAACTTTTCTTTTACCCAATAAATTGTACTTATGAGCAGATAAACTTTATAAATCTTATGAATATCCATAGTTACAAAGATAGTAACACTAAATCAAGTAATATAGAGATTTTTTTAATTAAAAAAATAATCTTTTTCAGGCTAATACTATGTGTTTGCTTTCTTTCTAGCAAAGATAGATTGATTGATTTTTTATTTTATTATACATTTAATTCCATTCAACTAGACTAACCTTCTGCCAAACTCCATGTTGGGCAGCTGCTGAGTCTGATGCTGCAGCTCCTGGAACCGCTGGAGGCTCTCGTCCAACACCTTGTGCAGTTTGCCTGACAGGAAGTGGAACACACGCACCTATTACATCAGCAAACAAAAACTTCTAACATATTAATACAACAACCCAGATATCTTCAAAAGATTAAATTCTCCTTATTAGTTTTAAAACTAACTTTGCTCCATTTCAAGTTTATTTTAATTTATTTAATATTTATTTACTTGGCAATTACATATGTTCATATTTTAATTGTGTTATAGATATAATAAAAATAAAAAATATATAAATCCATCACCTTTCTATCCAAACCGATTGAAGCCATCTTCTTTCCATCAGGGGAGAATGCCAGTGCAGTAGGATAAGTTTTGTTTTTCACAAAATCAAAGAGATCTGTATCTAATTTGGATTCAAAGTCTACATTTTTTGGGTACTTATACTCATGTTTAGGACCGGTCCAATACTCTACAATGCCAGCCTTGTCCACTGAAACTGCTATCTCAAAAACAGCATTGTACTTTATAGTAGCAACTGTGGTTTGGTGTAGGGTTTCAAATGTATGAAGTGGAGTACCAGATACTTGAGTGCCATCAAACACATGTATTTTATTGCTGCCCTTTTCAGATCTGTAAAATCCACTATAGATTTTAGAACAAAAACAAACTTGACCAATACTGATAGTGATTATGAATTGATTTTTCATAGACATCCAAACATTTATATTATTTTTAGAATATTTATATTCATGAGAACTGAAAAAGGGTAACTTACACAGCCAGTGCTGAAATAGGATCTCCAGCAGAGTGAATCCATTCTGTGCAGTATGGCTCAAATTGTATTGTAATCATATTGATCATGTCTGAAAATAAGTAGTCAAAATAATGAGATCACTGCTAGTTTTACTTACTGTAATAACTTTCTGATTAGTAATATATGCTTACCAAAATTAACAACATCAAACACTTTAATAGTTTTCTCTGGAGATGCTGTACAAAGCAATGTGCCTGTGCTATTTGTAGACATGTGACAAATTGGTGCTAAATGACATCTGAAATGTTTAACAAACTCGATACCTTCATCCTGAAATAAATTTATAAATAAAATAATAATCCCAAAAACCACATTCAAATTATGATAATTATCATAGCCAAGTAAACATAGATTACACTAATAAAAATAACAATATATGATATAAATATTAAACAACATCACATTAATTGCTGTGAACCCAAGATAAGTAATAGTAAAGCCTTCATATTATGGTTATCTTACACAACAAAGGTACCACAACAACCACACCTGAAACAATAAAGAAAAGTTTATTTTCTACATTAACCCAAAAGGAAATCAAACTAGGACCTCAGATTAACTCTGATTAGCTATAGAAGTGGAGTTCTATATAAATAATAAATAAATTAATACTAGACAACTTCACAAATGTCATTCAGATCCCAAATATTCAATAAGTAGTTAGTGGGATTCAACGAATATTACGAAATTTAGTTGTTGCCTATATTACTACAGTGATCCATATTTGTTCATATAAATGTGCCCTTACCTGTTTTTTCCAAAATTTTAAATGACCGTCTTGACTTCCAGTAACAACGAAATCAGTTTTCGTTACAATAACATGAGTGACTACATCACGATGCATATAACTACGTTCGTATGTTTCTGAAGATGGCAAATTTTCAACGTAAAGAGATTCAAACTCCAGAACTGAAAAAAGGTTTGGGATTTAAAATAATCTTTGTTTAGGTAAAGCATCATTAGTTAATTGGGTTTCCGTGCATAATTCAAGCTCTATATTACAAAATACGATCCTAACCTTTACGTTTTTTAGGTTTTGATTTTACAGCTTCTGAAGGCATTGGTCCAATCCAGCCATCACCCTCATCAGCATCTTCTGAATTTTCTGCACCAGCTGGTCTTTTTTCTGCTGACATTTTTATGATAAATTATCGAATTATCTTTATTATTATAAAATTTAAATAGACATCACAGACTCAGTAGGTATATAGACATTTAGACGTCAAATTTTCAGTAATCAAGTAGGATTGGCAAAAACTATCGATATATCAAAAAATCAAGTTTTTTTTTTCTGAAAAACATCGATATAAATCAGCGATATTTTTCCCGCGATATATCGGATTTCGATATTTATTTTCAGATATCAAATTCATATCATAATTGACATATTTTTTAAAGTTTTGCTGTCTGCTCATACGCCGCATCATGTTTTTCTTAAATTTAAATAAAGAAGTAGGCAGTAGGCTGTATGAGTTTCGAAATTAAGTCTTTATCCTGCTTGCCTTTTTTGTTTGTTCATACTGCTTGTTGGTTTGGTTGGTATCACAGAGAGTGCTCCTGATGTTAATATCAGATAAATACTGAATTGTTTGAATAATGTATTTTTTGTTGTGTTGATGATGTTTTCATGGCTTTATACACCTATTTTAAATAAGAAAACAGCCAGGTGTTTATTTGCTTTAAAATTTCGAATATTTTGGCAATATTTATAGATAATCACTTATTGCGCAAAATCATCGATATATTTGAAACTATCGATACGATATATATCAATATTTTTTTTCCCATTTGCCCATCCCTTTAGTGAAGTCAAGTAGTGTAATCGAAGAGAAAATAATACAGTGTAGTATTTAAGGATGACACGATACGAGTAATTACTCGTTTCTTTTCTTTCAATACCAAGTACTTTGGAATCGATACTTTAAAACCGAGTAACAAGTGGTGTCGTGAAGTAAGTATTTGTTTCGGTACTTAGTCAGTCATACACTGAAAAATAAACAAAAATCTCATATGCATATAACTGTTTACTCTGTGGTAAGGTGTCTAAAGTCTGTCTCATGAATTTTCCTCTAACCTACTTAGGGGCCTTTTGGCCCAAAGGCGTGGCGTCCCTGCAATATGATGAAGCATTGCTAGCCTCTATCTATTACTAATTTTATTTGGTTAAAGATCTATCTTCAGAAGTTACTGCCAACAAAATTTTGAAAAACTTTATGCATAACTTTTTATGCCTGGATCTGCATCTCTTTCTACCATTAATAAAGTATATCAATAGTGTCAAATCTGCTACAAAAATAAAGACAGTGGTGAGGCATTTTAAAACTATTCGATACAAGTGAGTATCAATACTTTTCATTAGATACCAAATAGGTATCAATTCTTCGTGACTGATAGGGTATCAATAAAAGTATCGATACCTAAGTGCTATCGTTTCATTCCTAGTAGTAGTAAGTAGTTGTTTCATCCATAGGATAGGCAACTTAGTGTTTGAATGTACCTAATTTTTGAAGTGTGGTATTTTAAAGTTATAACTGGGGATGCAACGATATTTCGACACACTATTGCACAAAAATAGCTTTATTTTTCGATATCGAAAACAGCGATATCGATATCATAAAGATTGAATATAAATATGTTGATATCAAAAAATACCAACATTTTTTATTAATGGCTTATCTGCGCATTTGTACAATTCTGCCAATGTCAAATGAATAAATTAATTTCTACATGTAAAATTAAAATGAAATGAATGAAAGATGGCGATGGTATCCTTTTGTAAATCATATCAAAACCTAATATCAAATGAAATCCAAAAATAAATTATAAAACGAGAAGTTCTTGCTCCGAGATTAAGGTATCGTATGGGTGCACCCCAAAAATTTCTAACAACTTATCAAACATACATACCGTTTGGTGAAACTCTTAATATATGATTTTGACTACTATCACATCACACTGTATTTATTTTCCTGAAATTAAAAGCAAATATCATATAATGAAAATATTTACACAAGCTTGATGCGGCAATCAAAATTATGCGGTCATCCTATCAAAGTTTCTGTTTTCGTAATGTAATAATCATTAAAACTATACTGAAATTAATTAAGTGCGTTAATTTAATAACGCGTTAAGTACATAATTAAAAGGGTACGCGAAAAACACAATAAATCAAGCAGTACACTAAATTTCGTAGCACATTATTTATTACATGTTGGTTGCCTGGAAGATATTGCTTTTTAGCGATAAGGCCGCCAATTGTACTGTTTATTGTTATTAATTGTTATGTTGATTTTTCAAGTACAATAAAGTGTTCATTCATTCATTCATTCATTCATCTTTGAACTGAGCGCATGCTATAGTACACAAGAATTTATGAATGTTTTATTCTAATATATGTGAAATAAAAGTAAATTAACTATGTACATTTGTTATCTACACGTAATGCTTTTACTAAAATTTGCCTTTATATTTATTAACATAGTTATCTTTATTATAAACACATACTTATCGTAATTTATCATGTAAAAAATATATATTATAATTCATATTTTTTACAATTTAAACTTTTAATTTTTGACATAATCGCAGTTTAATCTAAACAATTTACAATATTATATTATAGCATTCGCACTGGTTCGCGCCCACGCGTTAACGCGCCAAATTTTTAACGACTTAACGTGTACATATACGTAACAGCGTTAAGTGTTAAGTGCGTCTTAGACACGCTAAGCACTAATTTAACCTGCTTATTTTGCGTTGTCCAATTTTTGACTAAAATTCACTAAAACGTCTAGTGATGTTGATGTATCTCAAAATGTAGCTTAATTTTAACTTATTTGATATCAGGAAATTAAATTTTAAAAGCAAAGTCAGTATAAAAATAACGACGCTTATAATCATTTTTAAATAGTACTAATGATAACTACCCTATAACTATGATACGAGGGCGGGATAATAAATAGCTAGCCCAACCCATATTTTGTATAATAACAATATAAAATCTCCGTAGTATTTTACTCATTGGTTCATTAGCTGCCAGTGTTCCTAATTTCAAATCGATCGTATAGTTTTTATTTTAAATATTGACATTTCAAAAAGCATTCTTTTGTTTTTCTGCAAAATGGATAAAATTGAGCTACGAGCTGTGATAAAGTTTTTGCATTTAAAAGGATTAAAAGGTGGGGAGATTTTTTGGAGATGAAGGATGTTATAAACGACGGAAGGTGGAAATCTTGCTAATACTTTCATAAAATACAAAAACAGGAGTATCTTTTACAAAATGTTTAATGTGACAGATAAATTTTATCGGCCTCCGTTGTTATTTAAAAAATGTCAAAATTCAAAGAAAAATAAATTAACAACGGAGGCGGCATACGTTGCTGTCATCTACACGCCCCACCCCAGTGCTGGCTTACCAGCACTCATCATCCAACAGTACCGGGGCGACACGTGCAGCTGACCGCCTGAGTATATTTCCTGAAGTAGTGCGTACGTCGACCATTCTTACACGACCATCCTTACCCGGGAATACCGATTGAACCATGCCTTTTGGCCAAACGTTTCTAGGAGAACTAGGATCTATAATAAAAACTATATCACCACGTCGTATCGGCTTCGTTTCCCGGTTCCACTTTTGTCTTGGCAGCAAGGTAGGTAACACCTCCCTTATCCATCGACGCCAAAACATGTCTGCTAATTGTTGCGAAATACGCCACTGTTTGCGCAGACACATATCTGACTCATTAAACGAACCTATCGCAGGAAGACAAGATGACGTACCGACAAGAAAATGATTAGGTGTCAACGATTCCGCACTACTTGGTTCCACAGATACATGAGTGAGTGGGCGACTATTCACCATGGCTTCAACTTCCGCAATTAAAGTACAAAGTACCTCATCACGAGGGGTACGCTCCTTAAGAGTTACCTTGAGAGCAGTTTTAACACTACGTATGAGGCGCTCCCATGACCCACCCCAATGAGGACTTGCAGGGGGAATAAAAGACCAATCAACCCCATGATTAATAGCCTCCGACGTTAAGTTTTCGTTATTATGTTCCATAATGGATTTCCTAAGTTCTGTATCTGCGCCCCTAAGATTTGTTCCATTATCGGAATATAATTTACGTGGCCAGCCACGTCTAGCGGCCATTCGGCGCAACGCCATAATCATCGAACCTGTAGTTAGCGTTGGTACAATTTCTATATGTACCGCTCTTACAGTAAGACACGTAAAAAGGACTCCATACCGTTTTTCTTTACGCCTACCAACAGCGACCTCCATCGGTCCAAAAAGATCTACTCCACAGAAAGTGAACGGTCTTTGGCTGTGAGCTAATCTAGCTTCAGGTAAGTCACCCATTTTTGGTATTACCGGAGAAGCCTTTTGCAATTTACAAAAGTAACATTTCGAAACAACGTGTTTGATAGTAGGACGCAACCTAATTATCCAATACTTTTGTTTTATTTCATTAACTAAAGTTTCCTGAGCAGCATGTGCGAATTTTCTATGGTAATACATTACAATTAGTTTTGACAAATGATGATGCCCGTCTAAAATTATAGGAGTTTTCATTTCAACCGGAATACCTATTGCAGCATCAACACGACCACCGACGCGAAGAATCTGGTATTCGTCGAGGAACGGCGATAAGGTAAGTAATTTACTTTTTTTATCTACACATATATTGTTTAATATAGCGACAATATCTACACTAAACGACTGCCACTGCGCTTGTCGTAGTAATAATCGTTCCGCTTGCTCAATTAAACTACTATTATTGATATAGTTCCGTTTTTTACATCTATTTATAAAAGTAAGTATAGCAATCATACATTTCAAAAGACGTAACCAGCTTGAAAAACGATGTACGTCAGGAACAGGTAAGTCGACTGACTCATGTTGTATAATACAAGCAATTTCTGAACTATCTTTTTCTATTTCAGTTACTTCAGTGACCATCGGCCATGAGTTCTCATTTTCACTAAGAAACAACGGTCCGTTTAACCATTCTTTAGTTATAACAGAATAGTCATGACACTCACGAGTACCCACGTCCGCGATGTTCATTTTTGTTGGTATATAGTACCATTCGGATGCACGCGATATCTCATCTATTTGACCTAAGCGATGAGCGACAAATACCTTATAGTTTCGCGTATCATTGCGTATCCAATGAAGTACCGTTGAAGAATCGCACCAGAAAAACCGTTTTTCTATGTGTAGTCTATGTTCTTTTATTAAAGTATCTGCTAAACGCGCTCCAAGCAAAGCAGCTTGTAACTCTAACCTAGGCACAGATACATGTTTAAGGGGAGCGACACGATACTTAGCAGCTACAAATATAATGTGTACACCACTATTACTGATCCATCGTAAGTAAGCGACTGCACACATGGCCTTCGTAGATGCATCACAAAAAATATGCAATTGTACATTTTTTAAATTATTTACAAAATCATTGTGTACATTCTTAAGATAATATCGAGGGAGACGAATCTGACTAATATCGGGTAAATATTTAATCCAACAAGTCCATTTTTCCAATAAGTTATCTGTTAATGTATCGTCCCACTTAATATTTGCTTTCCACGTTTCTTGCATAATTAGTTTACCTTGTAACGTAAAAGGCAAAAGAAAACCAAAAACATCGTAAATTGACATAACGACACGCAAAATATCCCTTTTTGTGGGTCGCTGTGAACCATTAATAATTTTATCATTTATATTTTTAAATGACAAATCAAACCTCAATGTATCATCCATCGGTTCCCATAGCAAACCAAGCGTTCTTTCGATAGTAATTTGTTGATCGAACTTAAACCTAACCGCTGCACTACCTAATAAGTC